AGGTATTCTATTCACTATATTACCTAATAATAGACCAGATGGACGCCAGCACCTTTCTCAACAATTGGTACAGACAGACATGAGTCAACACACAAATGGAAAGATATAATAATTATTTTTCAAGGAGAGAATCTCGTTACTCTGCACTTTCCATACAGCTGTTTAAAGCTAAGGTCACACTAGAATTTATACCCAAAATAAATCCACCGTTAGCATTGACTTTTCAACGAACTCCTAAAGTTGTCTCTACAGCAACAACTTATTTCTTGTCGAAAGTGGGACGATACGGAGCGTCTGAAAATCCATGTTACGGTGACTTGAACTTTCCTATGGGCAGTCGATTTTATTAATAAATTTTGCACAGTTCTTATTTTTTCTCATTAATGTTAAAATGTACACAAAAAATAAAAAGTGCATTTCAATAGCAAAATACGAGAAAAATGTCTTCGGAGAAATAAAAAAAAAATCATTATAATAACAATACATCACGACAGAAGTTTCATTTGACTCTTGAGTTCTTGCATCACTTTTGTAAACAAACATCGCTTGGACGCTGAAATTGTTTCTTTTTCGACTTGGTCTTCTTTAACAGGACCACATATCTCACTAAAGCGGACTGGACGCGAACTGGGCGCTTCGCCAATGGTTCTTTTCGCCATTGTGGCTAGTGTGCTTATCATACCGTTCACTTATTGCCTATGAATGAAATGCTATCGTCGATTTGTTGCAATGGGAACTCTAGTTTGACCGTAGCTTTTCGGTGGTGGTAGAACTAGATGTTCTGAAATTGTTTTGATATAAATAAGAAATAGTAATTAAGGGCACAGCTAGAGCCTACACTACATAATGTACATCGTACACATTAATATTCACAATGATAAATTCTTCGAAAATAATCAATTGTTTTCTCATTCGGGCAAAAAGACTTTCTAGTTGAGCTGGGAGATATCATGGCTCCCGAACTTTAAGGAAGAAGGAATTACAAACTTGAGGCTATTTTGGCACACAAAAATATTTCTTTTGGAAAATCATAAAATTTGACAATGATAACAAATAGACAACAATAACAGTGAGTCACTCATTTACACATTTGCTTTTAATTATGAAACAAAAGCACAATTTACATCCTTAAAGAATATTAAGAGGTTATATATCAAAAGATCAAATCACCTCCAAGTCAAGTGGATATTTACTCTACATTTTGTAGACAGTGAGGAACTAAAGAAGAAAATAAACACGAGTCATTATCCCGTTTTAGTGAGTTCACATATTCGTAATGTCATTGGCATTTCGCATTCTCCATCAACAAATTCCAGCAAAAATCACACACACATAAACACACACACACACACACACACACACACACACACACACACACACACACCTAAATAAAAAAAAAAAAAAATATATATATATATATATATATATATATATATATATATATAGGAAGAGATCCACCTGTTTAGAGACATAATTATCCTCTAAACATACATATATAACACAGTAAATATGGGAAATTCCTCATTAGCGATAACTTGTATGTATTTCTTTCTTTGGAAACTTCTGACTGGGCATAAACGATCAAGAACATCACCATTATATGTTAAAATGAATAGTTCCACACGACACTTAACCTAACATAACTTAGCCTATCACAACGTAACGTAACCTAATATGACCTAACCTTACTCTACCTAGTTTATAATTAATTTGCCTATATTACGATGGCAAACTACATCTTCGATTAGAAAATCATTTTGACATACACGAATTAAATAAAATTAAGTTATAGCAATAAAAACAAGTTATCTCTATTCAGCAAAATCATCAGTTGCTTTTGAAGGGCTAACCAGTGATATTGGTATTTACTGTAGAATCAAATATAATAATAATAATAATAATAATAATAATAATAATAATAATAATAATAATAATAATAATAATAATAATAATAATAATAATAATAATAATAATAATAATAATAATAATAATAATAATAATAATAATAATAATAATAATAATAATAATAGTAATAATAATAATAATAATAGTAATAATAATAATAGTAATAATAATAATAATAATAATAATAATAATAATAATAATAATAATAATAATAATAATAATAATAATAGTAACGAATGTCTGTATCAGTAAGGATAATGAAGGTATATACCCTGTATACCTGCTTCTCTTGTAAGCGTAACACAAAAAAGACCAACACGTTGTTGACCTTGTGTCGAGAGAGGGCACGGGTGAGGAGGAAGCGAGGCAGGCAGTATAAAAGGCGTCGACACCTGTACAGCAGCAGTCCACATCCAGACTACAATCAACTGATACCATGGTAAGACTTCTGTTAGTTGCACTCATGAATCACATATGATTACAGTACATGGTAATGCTTCCATTACATGAAAAAAATGAAACAAATATAATTAATATATGTGTGAGTATAATGACTTAATACATTATATAATATTTCTGTCCACAGAAGCTGCTAGTGATCACGGTGAGCGCCGCCCTCCTGGTTGGATCGTGCATGGCAGGTGGCTCCTACCATCATGGCACTAGAGGCGGATTTATCTCACACGGAGGTAACAGAGGCATCTCTGGTGGTATCGGGTTCGACTCCCATGAGTTCATTGGATCACCTGTGATCTCTTCAGGAGGTCATGGTGGTTCCTACTATGGCTCTGGTGGTCGCGGTGTCAATATCGTTCGGGCCATTGGTGGCTTCGTTGGTTCATCAACTATTGGTGGCGGTTATGGCTCCAGGGGCCTTGGTGGCTCCGTCGGTGGTGGCTCCTTCGGTGGATCCATTGGTCGTGGCTCCGTCGGTGGTGGCTTCGGTGGACCCATTGGTGGTGGCTCCATCGGTGGTGGCTCTTTCATTGGTCAGAGAGGTTCCATTGGTGGTGGCCGTAGTTACGGAAGATATTAAGTTACTGAAGTAATTATACTGATGCATGTTATTTGATATTTTTTTACTCTACACGAAAAAATACAATAAAACTCTAAACCTTAAATATTTTCTTATGATACCCTTTTCCCATTATATTACCATGTGTGTGTGTGTGTGTGTGTGTGTGTGCTTGCTCCCTCCTGGGGTTTTTTCCGTCGTTATCAGTTACTCGCCGGTATCTGACTGTATTTGTCCAACCTTTTCTCGCGTCTTAGTTTAATACATATAAAAGAATCCCTCGGGGTTTGACTTCGCCTCCCTTGCTACCTTCAGTTCATTATTCCTCTTTGCCTTTCTTATCTGGGCCCTAACCCTACTGGCCAATACTTTATAATAATCTCGGAGGTAACTTCGCCACTATTTATTCTTCTACTTATAACCTTCCTTTGTCCAATAATATTCCTTAAATAATTGTTTATCCATTTAGGGTTATTGTTGTCTGATCTAAGTTTTCTGTATGGTTTGTTCTGCCTTTGTGCATTAAGTAACTCATTATTTAAGTTGTTGTGGAACTCGTCAACCTCAGATCTCGTGATCAGGTCATCCTCAACCGTCATATTTTGTGAAGATATTGTTGTCAGGTCTCCAGGTAAACATACTGTATCTGTCAACATGAATTTGAGTAATGGCATGTACAAACTGGACAATTTTGTGATTAAGAAGATTTTCTAACCAGGTAAAAGGGTTGGGTCACTCTACCTTATCACCTGAATATAGTGGACACCTGCTGTCCCTTGGGATTTAATCTCACTCTCCTTTACTGTATATATTAGCCTTACCAATAATTTCTCTTTAGTCTGTACTCACCCCTGAAGATGTGAATTACACGACAATATTGGACAATTTTGTGATTAAGAAGATTAGGAACTTCGTGTTTGCTTGTTTCCTATGGGGTTATCAGCATCTATATTGTTACGGAAAATGAGCAATGAATAAGGCAACATAAGAACATAAGAACATAAGAATGGAGGAAACTGCAGCGGGCCTATTGACCCATACTGGGCAGTCCCGTTTATATCCAACCTATGTTTGAAGCTATCATGACAACAACATGACAACACCCAACACAGTATAAATAGCAGGACGTGAAAAATATGCAAATGATTTTTATAGAACATTCTTAAAACACATAAACAAGGGTGACAAATAATGTACTCAGCTGTACTAATGTACGTTACAAATAGCTGGCTAATAAATCCCACTGTTCACAGGCAGAGTGCAGGTAACAGTTGCTCAACTTTACTACAGAGTAGGCAGGGAGAACAGATTCAGATTCAGATTTGCCCCCGAGGGGGCGAGTTTATTGGGCACCCCCTTACATCCTGTGCAAAGTGAAGCGCAGAAGCGTTTACAGCGCCCAACAGGGAAGTATGAAAAGTTCATACTTGCCTTTATGACTCGTACATTAGCAGGGAGAACAAGTCACCGAGGTGGGGAGAGGAGGACTATCCTTTTTTTTTTTTACGGGGATTAGCCCACCCGGGCTAATAATAATAATAATAATAATAATAATAATAATAATAACATCGACAACAACAACAACAACAACAATAATAATAACAACAATAATAATAATAATAATAATAATAATAATAATAATAATAATAATAATAATAATAATAATAATAATAATAATAATAATAATAATAATAATAATAATAATAATAATAATAATAATAATAATAATAATAATAATAATAATAATAATAATAATAATAATAATAATAATAAAGAACCATAAAGAAATACAAAATTAAAAAAAAAATGAAATGTGAGAAACAATTTATGCTTTAAATTTGTTAGCGAATTGTCATAAATTTATAATTATATTATTATTTACAAGTGAAAGATCAGATCAGTATTCAGACTTTGACGACGACGACGATAACGACAATAACAACAACAACACTCAGAACAAGAACAACAAGATCAGAAAGAACAAGAAGAACAAAAAGAAGCAGAACAAGAACAACAAGATCAAGAAGAACAAAAAGAAGAAGTCACTATATAAAACAGTAAGCAAGACTGGATAGGTATCGGGTCATGTTTTTCTTGGTCGTGATAACTTAACGTGGGGATAGGTGAGGCAGGTAGTATATAAGACGTCGACACCTCCACAACAGCTAGACTACCATCAACTGATACCATGGTAAGAAGACTTCCCTTAGTTGATCACATTAATATATCAAATGGAAATAATGTATGATAATGACTCTTATACACAATAAAGAAGTGTGTGAATTTTGATCTAGATATGTGAGAATAGTAATTGGATACTGAGTATATTAGATTCCATGTTTCTCTATACAGAAGTTGTTAGTGATCATGGTGAGCGGCGCCCTCCTGGTGGGGTCGTGCATAGCAGATGGTACCTACAATCGTGGCTCTGGAGGAGGAAGTTTCACACCTGGCCCCAGCTTTCACCCATCCAGGTTCCCGTCAGGCGGTGGCGGTGGAAGATATTCTGGTGGTGGTGGTGGTGGTGGCGGTGGTGGTGATGGTGGCGGTGGTGATGGTGGCGGTGGTGGTGATGGTGGCGGTTTAAATATCGTCCAGGCCAATAGTGTCCTCCTTGGTTCATCAAATATTGGTAGCGGTTATGGCCCCAGGGGGGGTGGTGGCCCTGTCGGTGGCCATCGGAGGTTCATTGGTGGTGGCAGTAGTTACGGGAGGTAATAATTTTATGATGTATTTGTACTGTTGTCACTGATATTATTTTTTTACAATAATGAAAGATTTTCAATAAAATTTCTGGATTTGTAAATTCTTTATATTGTATCCTCTCATAACGATATATGTTTGACTAAACTATTTAACACACACACACACACACACACACACACACACACACATATATATATATATATATATATATATATATATATATATATATATATATATATATATATATATATATATATATATATATATATATATATATATATATAGTGTAGATCCACATTGGTAACGTGGATAAGATAAATCTTGATAAAAACACACAGGAAAAGGGAAACAATGGAGCACCTTAACTTTCGGGTTTTTTTTCCAAGACATCTTCAGAGGCAACTGAATCCATAAGACCTGAGAGAAGAGCTTATAATTATACTATGGGTGACATCACAGTACAACAGGTGGGGCGGGGTGAGTGGGTCCTCATGTTATTTACCTGACTTATGTTTCCATTGCTTTTGTTTTTCGAAATTCTTTTGACTTTCCATAAATGACCATTTAGATTATCACAATACATATAAATAGACAGATCATAAAACAAATAATTCATTCTTATCTTACCTAACCTAAGCTAATCCAGCCTAATCATACCTGACCTTACCTAGCGTGCATAGTAAGAGGAACGAAGTGTTAAATAAGGTAGATCATAGTTTACCATACACAAATAGTTTTAATTGAATGATAAATATAAAATATAAAAGTTATCTTTAATTTCCAAAGAAGCAAATTATTTACTGCTAAATAGTAATTGCTGATTGGCAAAATTTTTTATGTAGTTATCTTTTTCGAAACTTCTGACTGGCCATTAACGACCATGTAGTAAATCATAAAAATACACACAAAACCTAACCTAACCTTATCCACTTTAGGAATACCTTTACTATATTATAATATTAAATGACGATTACAATGAAACAAAGCTAATTTACCAAATATGATTTAAATTCCATTGAGTTCGAGCAATAAAAGCATAAAGTTACCATTATTCAGAAAAACCTTCAGTTGCTTTAAAGGCTTAATCGACAATTATCCCAATTTAGTGTAACACAGACAGACAGACAGACAGACAGACAGACAGACAGACAGACAGATAGATAGATAGATAGATAGATAGATAGATAGATAGATAGATAGATAGATAGATAGATAGATAGATAGATAGATAGATAGATAGATAGATAGATAGATAGATAGATAGATAGATAGCTAGATAGATAGATAGATAGATAGATAGATAGATAGATAGATAGATAGATAGATAGATAGAGATAGATAGATAGATAGAAAGATAGATAGATAGATAGATAGATAGATAGATAGATAGATAGATAGATAGATAGATAGATAGATAGATAGATAGATAGATAGATAGATAGATAGATAGATAGATAGATAGATAGATAGATAGATATTACAGAAACAACCAGACATGAATGCCTCTTTAAACTTTCTAGGAGTCGAATGCATACTATCACAGGTAATTGGGGACACTACAAACCAGATCGTATACGAGTAAAAAGTCAGCAGGAGAACCGGACCGAAACTGTGACTGGAAACTTGCACGGAGTCACTAATTGTAACCGACGGGTTTTAAGACACATCTGGACTATCACTTTGGCACAGAATAACCTTTTAATCATGTCTGTATACTTGATCACCTTTAAAAGGAAAAAATGAAAACGAAACACACAATTACGTGAGAGAAGTAACACACCTCTCAGACTGATGAGGAAGAGCGAGGGCAATGTACCATACCCGTAGTACAGGAGACACATAATATAAGAGTCCTAGAGAAGTTGACTTGTGAAAGAGACTTAGGGGTATTTGTAAGCCCGGACCTAAGGCCTAGAAAACACAGGCCAGAGTATAAGATTAACAAAGGGGCATCACGTGGTGTAGTAATTCCCTCGCAGATGGTGTTATGAGGAACCTCACATGATGCTGTAGCAACTCATTCACTACATGGTGTGTGTGTGTGTGTGTGTAATAATAATAATAATAATAATTAACGGTTTATTGAAAGAGCTTGGCAGCCAGAAGGCTGAAAATATACAGTCACACATTTGGGGAATGGGTTTCGAATTACAAATAATATACAAGTAACATAAGTGATACAAATAAGATATATAATAACTAGATGGGGAAAAGCTCAAACTACAGTGCATTTCAACATAGTGACAGTGCAAGAAGTAGTATTTACTGGGAGTGAATACACTGGTTTATTACAAGTTATTGATAATTTTTACAATGGTGTGTGTGTGTGTGTGTGTGTGTGTGTATCATCAGTAAATGAGTTCATCATGATAAATTTGTGTCAAGATAGGGCAGGGGTGAGATGGAAGTCCGGCAGCAGGCATTATATAAGGCGTCGACATCTCCCGAGTAACACAACACGTCCACACTTCCACCAACAGGTATCATGGTAAGGATCCTCTTTAGTCACAAAACGATTACATTATAATATCAAAAGTTATAATACTGGTTTTCAGATATGATTAGGAATTACTTTTATCATGTGTGAATATAATAGACAGGCTTCGAGACAGAGTACATAATTAATCATCTCTCTATCCCCAGAAACTGTGGGTGGTCCTCGTGAGCGTCGCCCTACTGGGGGGGACCTGCAGGGCAAGTTATGGATGCCTCTTATGTACTGGAGACGGAGGTGACTCAGGGGCGGCTGCCGGAGGCTCAACTGGGCACCATCCAATAGACCACTACTATGGTTATGGTAGGGGACCTTATTATAATGGAGGATCTCACTACGGTAAGGGACCTTATTATAATGGAGGATCTCACTACGATAATGGACCTTATCATAATGGAGGATCTCACTACGGTAGCGGACCTTATTATAATGGTCCATATATCGTTCGGGCACTTGGTGGCCTCATTCGTGTTGATACTGACGATGATGGTGGCCACTACGGCCACACCCATGGTGGCTACCACGGCCACACTCATGGTGGTTACCACGGCCACACTCATGGTGGTTACCACGGCCACAATCATGGTGGCTACCATGGCCACACCCAAGGTGGCTACCACGGCCACAATCATGGTGGCTACCATGGCCATTCTCATGGTGGCTATTATCCCTATCATTAATTTTCTGAGGGATGCATATTAAAAGCTTAAATCCGAAATATGTTGTACTATATTCCTTCCACGTCTTTGAGATAAACCTTCCATAAAGCTGTATATACATACATCAGCAACAGACTCGCCCTTCGAGAAGAGGAGTCTAATGATAAAGAACAAAGCCAACACTTGGCAGAACATCTTGTTTAATTCATGACGACAGTTTGGAAGCAGACTATCACCATCATGAGGCAAACTGCAAAACAAAACTATACTTAGTTTAAGAACTGAGTTGTGCAATATACATGAATTAATTCTAAACATCAGTATACATAAAACAAAATAAACATAACTTACATAAACACTAAACTGTGTGATATTAGTAAAGCAGAAATACTGTATGATAAAACACGAAATCCACACAGGACAAGGAGTGAAAACTTACTAACAAGACTAAGGGAAACTTACTCTATAAACATAAAAGGCTTAAGGAAGTCTCGTTGCTCACTAAAGAAGGTGAGTCTCCTTAACAGTCAACAGAAACACGATGAAGATCTGTAGGCTTGGGGCGGCTGGTGACGACTACAGCGAGTCCAGGTGTGTTTGGTGATAGGCATTATCCACAGGGCCCCCCAATGCGCATTTAAGACGTCTTTTACTATCATAAGATGGGCAAATCATATCTAAAGATTCTTAGGTTATGTTAGTTTTTATATGAAACTGTTCATTTATATGTATTATGATAACCTTCATCATGGTCTATGGATATTCAACGGTTAAAAAAAAAGAAAATAAAACACAATAAGTTGAAGTTATCATTATGAGGCAATTAGTCCTATATAGTGTAACTTTTAATAATAATAATAATAATAATAATAATTAACGGTTTATTGAAAGAGCTTGGCAGCCAGAAGGCTGAAAGTATACAGTTACATATTTGGGGAATGGGTTACGAATTACAAATAATATACAAGTAACATAAGTGACACAAATAAGACATATAATAACTTAGATGGGGAAAAGCTCAAACTACAGTTCATTTCAACATAGTGACAGTGCAAGGAGTAGTGTTTACTGGGAGTGAATACACTGGTTTATTACAAGTTATTGATAATTTTTACAATGGTTGGGACTGGGCTGTTCTTATAGCGATCAGTTGGTGCACGTATGGGCTGGATGCGGTTGTGGTGTCGAACAGCAATTCTCGGACTAGGGATTTCAGGTGGTAGTAGGAGCCGGTGTCGAGGATGGTGTAGAAGCTTCTTACCAAATTTGCAGATGAGGTCGTGGTGATGGTCAGTGAGAGTCGAAAGGGTCAGTGTGTTGAGCGCTTCTTGATATGTGGAGTAGGAAGGGGAGAGAATAATCTTGCATGCTCTCTTTTGCATTTTTTCTAGGTGTTTACGTTGTGTGGCATTTAGGGAGGAAGACCAGGTGGGGGAGGCATAGGAGAGCTTGGGAAGTATGAATGTTGTGTAAACACTGAGGAGCTCGTGTGCAGGAACTCCGAGGGACTTGAGTCGGCGGAGGAGGTGGAGACGGAAACTGGAGGATTTGACAACTTCACTGACGTGTGGTTTCCAATTTAGTTTGTTGTCTATGGTGACGCCGAGGAGCTTCGTGGAATCTACAACCTGGAGTGTGTTCGGACCTAGAGTAATGGAAGGAGGTGGGACAATGTCGGAGGAGAGGTTGATGTGCATAACCATGGTCTTGGTATGGTTGATGGTGACATGGTTGTTGGTGGCCCAGTTTTGGAGACTGTTCAATAAATCCTGAAGGGCGGTATAGTTGGGAGCAGAATTGTTGACGCTGATCCCAATGGTGGAGTCGTCGACATATTTCCAGCGAGCAGGGGTTTCTCTTAGGGCATCATTGATGAGCATAAGGAAGCAGAGTGGTCCCATCTTGGTGCCTTGGGGGACGCCACAGGTGAGTGACTGAAAGGTGGAGACAGCCCTCGGAAGCGTACAGCTTGGCGTCGGTCACTGAGGAAATCTGTAAGCCATGGTATAAGACTTCTCCGAAGCCCGAGGTCAATAGCTTTGTTGATGATTATATTGTGGTCGACTAGGTCGAACGCTTTAGTGAAATCAATGAAGGCGACAGCTACAGACGTTTTTCGTTTCTCGAGATGGCGGTATATGTAATCGAGAAAGCTGACAAGACAGACAGTGAGTGGTGGAGGAAGTTTTCATGTTGCCAAATTGCTGAGGGTCTACGACTCCTGCAATATCAGCATAAGCCCAGTCGAACACAAAACTTTCACAGATTAGGCTGGGTATTGGGGTGATTGCAATAGGTCGTAGCTGATTTAAGGATTGTGGGCTGGTTGACTTGGGCACTGGTGTGTGTGTGTGTGTGTGTGTGTGTGTGTGTGTGTGTGTGTGTGTGTGTGTGTGTGTGTGTGTGTGTGTGTGTGTGTGTGTGTGTGTGTGTGTGTGTGTGTGTGTGTGAATTAAAGTAGAACTTAATGTCAGTCGCAAAGAAAATTCCATTAAAATCCCAGATTTCAGAAAGGCAAACTTCGATGGGGCGATCTGAGGTTGACGAGTTCCACAACAATTTAAATAATGAGTTACTTAATGCACAAAGGCACAACAAACCATACAGAAAACTTAGATCAAACAACAATGACCCCAAATAGATAAATAATTATTTAATGAATATTATTGGACAAAGAAAGGCTATAGGTAGGAGAATAAATAGTGGTAAAGTTTACCCCCGAGATTATTATAAGGTATTGGCCGGTAGGGTTAAGGCATAAGAACATAAAAATGGAGGAAACTGCAGCGGGCCTATTGGCTCATACTGGGCAGTCCTATTAAGACCCAACCCCTATTGCTCATATATATTGCCCCAGGCCACGTTGTGGGTCGTTTGACCTGTGCCGGGTGGGCTAATATGTGTTGAGGTAAAATGTACCAGACAATTAACTCTGATAATTGTTTTTGTTGTTCTGCAGTGAAACAGAATCAGTTTCCAAGTTAATTAATTAGGACTATAAATTTCATCTTATGGGTATATTTTATTAACTACATTGATTACAAATAAACCGCACGATAGATACCCATACCAGAGTCAGACCTTCTCCTTACCTCCAAGACTCTGACGGTAAACACTATCACCGAGGAACAGGAATACTCATTCACTTAACCTGTTTTTCTCTCGTGATAATCGGAGTAAATTAAATAGATATATATACTTTCAACAATGTGTAACGAGACAGACCTGCAGTAAATGATGTATAAATTAGGACGTGTAAGGACATACTGTAGTTGAACCGATAAGACTGCAAGAGTGTGCAATATGGACTCTTGTTGCAAAAGAATATGTGGTGCTCTGAGTTGCTCTTTATTTCACCAGATGATATTATTTCAATTACAGCGTCTTCTAGTTGAGTAAGGAAAGAATTATATACGCTATGATACTGCTAATTTATTAACGACAAAGATATAGTACATAATGAGATAATGTAGACATCATTTCAGGGTGGTCCACTGATGTAGCCAGGGTAGTCAAGTCCTCCAGAAGGGTGAGTTAGTAACCGTGTTCATACCTGGTGGGATAATACCCGTAAACACCACGATAGCCGCCGTAATACCCAACACGACCATTAGAAGAACCGATATAGACGCGACCAGTGAGGTAGTTATCAGCGCCATCGAGAGAGCCGTCAACTCCACCACCAAACCCAGGAACACCGAAGGAGTCATGAACGCCAGCAGCAGAGCCTCCAGGAACACCGAAGGAGTCATGAACACCAGCAGCAGAGCCTCCAGGAACACCGAAGGAGCCGCCAATGCCATCACCAACCCCAGGAACACCGAAGGAGCCGTCAACTCCACCACCAACGCCAGGAACACCGAAGGAGCCATGAACGCCAGCAGCAGAGCCTCCAGGAACACCGAAGGAGTCATGAACGCCAGCAGCAGAGCCTCCAGGAACACCGAAGGAGCCAATGCCATCACCAACCCAGGAACACCGAAGGAGCCGTCAACTCCACCACCAACCCCAGGAACACCGAAGGAGCCATGAATGCCAGCAGCAGAGCCTCCAGGAACACCGAAAGAGCCGCCAACGCCTGTACCAAATCCAGGAACACCGAAGGAGCCGTCAACTCCACCACCAACCCCAGGAACACCGAAGGAGCCGCCAATGCCATCACCAACGCCAGGAACACCGAAGGAACCATGAACGCCAGCAGCAGAGCCTCCAGGAACACCGAAGGAGCCGTCAACGCCACTACCAAACCCAGAAACACCGAAGGAGCCATGAACGCCAGCAGCAGAGCCTCCAGGAACACCGAAGGAGCCGTCAATGCCATCACCAACCCCAGGAACACCGAAGGAGCCGCCAATGCCACTACCAACCCCAGGAACACCGAAGGAGCCGCCAACGCCACTACCAACCCCAGGAACACCGAAGGAGCCGTCAACTCCACCACCAACTCCAGGAACACCGAAGGAGCCGCCAACGCCACTACCAACCCCAGGAACACCGAAGGAGCCGTCAACGCCGTTCACATAGCTAACAGGAACACTGACGAAGGCACCTCGGCCACCAAAGGTAACCGCAGATGTGCCTGGTAAACCCCCATCGACAGCCAATGAATTGTCGAAAGATGAGACCCTATTACCGTCGAAGGAGTTAATGGAGCCACGGAAAAACCCAGATGGATCATGGGATGCCAGTACCCCACCAAGACGACCCTGGCGTCTGTTCAAAATCCCAGCACGTCCGAGAAATGAAGAGCTAACAGTATCGACTTGGTTTCCGTTCAGACTTTCTTCTAGACCTCCGATACTAACTTGGCCTCTTCTCGGGAAACCTCCAAGACCTCCAACGGGAGAGCCGCCGATCCCGGTCGAGCCTCCTGCTGGAAATCCTTTAAGATTCCCCTCAAATGTGCTACTAGCACCAGCGTTGTTTCTTCTGCTCGGAAATCCTCGTAATCTTACATCAGTGACACGGAGATTATTCTGCAAGCCAGAAGTGGCAAGAGTATGAGGGACGTCTCCGTGTAGATTTCTACCAACAGGCTCACGAGGGGACGCACTGTCTGCTCTACAGAAGCCAAGTAGCAGAACAACAACGTTCACGGTGGTAAACAGGAACTTCTGGAAAACAGAAATCAAACTTAGTTTCATAATTAAACTGAGACATGTATAAAGAGAAGCAGTATCATTCAAAATCTTCTCAAAAAAACTAACATTCATAATAACTGTATAACTAAGTAACTAACTACTTCTGACAATAATTGTTTCATGAGATTTCACTTCAGGAGAAACGACACTGACCATGGTTGAATCAGGAAGGTTTCACACTCGATCTGGAGCACCACTAGGTCCTTCTACCGTCTTATATCCTATTCTACTCCTTCACGGTGATGCTTCTAAGTCCTCCAAGGTCACAGAAGTCCTTTGTCCTGCTTGGGGCTTTTTAAGAACAATTATATTAATGACTAATAGGTGCGTATATTGAGCAATTTTATCATTCTTTGTCTCAGTCGTCATATCCTTCGTTAAGTGTGGGATGATTGTTGCTGGTCACTCTCTCTCTCTCTCTCTCTCTCTCTCTCTCTCTCTCTCTCTCTCTCTCTCTCTCTCTCTCTCTCTCTCTCTCTCTCTCTCTCTCTTTAATCTACTACCAGTTAACTTCCAGAGATCAGTCTCCACTATCGTAGCAGCCCGTGAGTGTGGTAAGAGTGTTGCTATTTCAGTTCACCCATTGAGCTACTACACTCTGAACCCTTGAACACAACACCACCCACATCCGGGTTCATTACATAGCCAGGTGAGGTGTACCGTCACCCTTTATATTGTTCCTCGTTGTTTTTTTGTATAATGAAACTATGTTGACTGAGTATGTAAGAAATTGAAGAGAAAGTTAACATAATTATACACACACACACACACACACACACACACACACACACACACACACACACACCTGAAATTAATAAGTGGACGAAAACAGGTCTATATACTTTCTGGCAGGTATATAAGTGTACAATGTAACGTTGAAGATACACCTGAAATTAATAACTAGACAGGTAGACAGTGGAGAGTTGAAGTCACACCTGTGGTTTTGTGGTCAGTGAAGACTTCTCTGGCCAGTAGAGAATTCAAAACCATATTCATGAAGTTGTTCTGGTGTAGGGAATGCCAATGTCACCTGTTCCGAACTCTGTCATGTCATACCTAACAATATATCAATTAATGGTGGCCTCTAAATAAACATGTATGTATGTATGTATGTATGCATGTATGTATGTATGTATGTATGTATGTATGTATGTATGTATGTATGTATGTATGTATGTATGTATGTATTATATGTATGTATGTATGTATATATGTATGTATGTATGTATGTATGTATGTATGTATGTATTATATATATGTATGCATGTATGTATGTATGTATGTATTATATGTATGTATGTATGTATGTATTTTATTCAGCTTTGGGTAACCTCCCACAGCCAAAGGGTTAAAAGCTATCTCGATTAACCCTTTCGCTGCAATTCCCGCACTTGCCATTTTAATCTGGCTCCCGCCATACGATTTTATTTAGCTTTGGGTAACCTCCGCCATAAGAGGGTTAAATCAAAATTGGAAAGTTATCACACACATACAGTATATACAAAGAAAGTAGCGGAAATAAAGTTGATTAGATCCCGGGGATAAATTGTCGGTAATGGCTAGTGCTACTTGTGAACAGGGCTGTGCCATTCTGAGGGCCGAGTTAGTGAAGGTCAAAGAAGAAAAACTTGAAAGTAAAGGAAGTGATAGCGAGGATGAAGGAAGACACGAGACAAGGAAGCCCGTGTCTGACGAAAACTGAGGCGAATGGAAGGTTGTGAGGAAAAGAACGATCAAAATGGTACTGAGAAAAGACACCGAGGAAACGACAACAGCTAAGTGTAAAAACTCTTTTAGTCTTTTGAAGGACGAATTGGACGTTAGCATAGTCAGGGACAGGGCTGAGAGAGAACGTTCGAAAACCTTAATTGTTGGCGATTCCCAGGTATGGTACCTGGATAGAGCTTTTTGTGATAGAAATAAAAATAGAATGAGGGTGTGTTTACCAGGAGCGGGGGTGGGGGATATAGTTGACAGGATGGACAATATCTTGTCTGGTAATGGGAACAAACCTATTATTTGCCTTAGTGCAGGAGGCACTGCTATTGGCCGGTGCAGGAGTAAGGAGCTCCTTGATAAGTTCAAGACAGCTATAGAACGTAATAGGTTGAAGGGAGGGATCCCTAGTATATGTGGTGTCCTGCCTAGAAGGAGAGTTGGTCAGTAGGGTTAAAACCGAGATAAGAAAAGCAAAGAGGAATAATGAACTGAAGGTAGCAAGGGAGGCGAAGTCAAACCCCAAGGGATTCTTTCAAATGTATCAAACTAAAACACGAGAAAAGATTGGACCAATACCGGCGAGCTAACTAATAACGACGGAGAAATGAGCATTAATCTGAATAAATATTTTTCAACAGTTTTCACCACCGAAAATTTGAACATGATAACCGAGGCACCGACTCTATTCAGAGATCGTGAATAAAATAGATAAAGCGAGATAGTAATGACTGGTAACGCCGTTATTAAGCAAATAGAGAAGTTAAAGCCTAACAAGTCACCAGGTCCCAATGAGATATTTGCCAGAATATTAAAGGAATGTAAGGAAGAGCTTAGTGTGCCCATAGCAAACATTTTTAACATGTCCTTAATAACGGGTGTATTACCAGAATCTTGAAGGATAGCGAATGTAATACTGATTTTCAAGAAGGGAGATAGATCACTATCCTCTAACTACCGTCCAATCAGCTTAACATCAATTGCAGGCAAATTATTTGGGAGCAATAATTTCAAACTCTATTCGAAATCACCTGGAGAAGCACAAGTTGATTAATGATTCCAAACATGGCTTCACAAGCGGGCGTTCATATTTAACTAATCTATTTTAAAAAAAATTTCTGTTTTCGAATCAGTGGACGAGGGGCACGACTATGATGTGGTATATCTGACTTTAGCAAAGCCTTCGACAGAGTCCCCCACGAAAGACTAATAAGATAAGTGGAGGCTCGTGGCATTGGAGGAGATATTCTAAAATGGATTAGGGCATGGTTACAGGACAGAAAACAGCGAATGAGCATTAACGGCACTAAATCCGATTGGAGTAACGTCACAAGTGGAGTACCCCAAAGCTCAGTACTTGAACCACTATTATTTATTATATACATGAACGACATAGATATCGGTGTAGACAGCAACATAAATAAATTTGAAGATGACACTAAAATAGGACGTGTTATTAAATCTGACGAGGACTCCGCAAAACTACAGGAAGATCTAAACAAATTTTTCGAATGGTCTGAAAAATGGCAGCTGAAATTCAATGTGGACAAATGTAAAGTACTCAGTATAGGAGATGCAAACAGAGAAACCAGATATCAGATGAACAACGATGTTATAGAGAAAACCGAATGTGAGAAAGATTTAGGAGTAATGATAAGTAGGAATCTTAAGCCAAGTAAACAATGTGTATTTGCTTGAAACAAGGCTAATAAAGTACTTGGGTTCATACAGAGGAGTGTTAGTTACAAGACTAGCGAGGTCATCCTGAAACTATATCTTGCACTTGTGAGACCTCACTTGGATTACACTGTTCAATTCTGGTCACCGTATTACAGAATGGATATAGAATCCCTAGAAAGAATTCAGAGGAGAATGACAAGACTAATCCCGGGCATTAGAAACCTTGAGTACAGAGACAGGTTAAAGCGTCTTAATTTGCACTCCCTCGAGAGACGTAGAGTGAGGGGCGATATGATAGAGGTGTATAAATGGAAGTCAGAGCTAAACAAAGGGGAGATAACAAAAGTACTCAAACTATCGTACCAGGAGCGAACTCGTATCAATGGTTTTAAATTAGACAAATTTAGATTTAGGCGTGAAATAGGTAAACATTGGTTTGGAAATAGAGTAGTGGATGAATGGAACAAGTTACCAAACATCATTATTGACTCGAATACGCTGGATAGCTTCAAACATAGGTTGGATGGATATATGAGCAATAGGGGTTGGGTGTAAATGGGACTGCCCAGTATGGGCAACTACCAAACAGGGAGGTACTACCGCCTGGGAAGAAATTGGAAGCATAATGTGTTGTCTAATGGTAGATCCTGCTGCCATATGGCATCACAAAAATTTTGACCATGTCCCAGGTTGCTGATCTGACTTTCTGCCTCATTTTCACACAATTGCAGGGTCTCAATTGTTTCTCTTACTATTGGCAGCGCAACATACATACAGTATATAATTTCTCACTATTGACCTTTTTTTTCATTTCTGCATCATCATCATCATCATCATCATCATCATCATCATCATCATCATCATCATCATCATCATCATCATCATCATCATCATCATCATCATCATCATCATCATCATCATCATCATCATCATCATCATCATCATCATCATCATCATCATCATCATCATCATCATCATCATCATCATCATCATCATCATCATCATGCATTATTATTATTATCATCATCATCATCATCATCATCATCATCATCATTATTATTATTATCATTATTATTATTATCATTATTATTATTATTATTATTATTATTATTATTATTATTAATATTATTATTATTATTGCTACTACATTTTCGCCCCCAGCCCCGATGTGGTCAGTGACCTGTGCCCGGGTGGGTTAATCCCCGTAAAAAAAGCCCGCTGCAGTTACCTCCATTGTTATGTTTTTATATACAGTAATAAATGTCATGCTCACACTCAAGAGCTCAAAATTACATGAACATATTTAAGTTCACATTTTACATAGTCAAGTTTACACCCAATTAGGTCAGCATATTACTCAACTTATTCAAGCTTTCGGTTAACAAGCTTAAGGTCAAAGGAAATAGTCGAAAAAAATAGATTCTCGTATTTTTGCAATTTTTAAGACATCACGAAAGGCTATGGCATATAGAAGAACACATCGGTATAAATACTATCTGTCTGTTCTTCCCATTCTCTCTCTGTTTCTCAGTCGTTTCTCTGGTGCATATACAAACAGACAGACATAGATACACGCGTATAAATAGCTGCCTGTCTGTCTGTCTGTCTGTCCGTTAATAATAATAATAATAACAATAACTGATTCACTTCCTGCATTAGACGGCAACAAATAGTTCAGAGTCTGGATTCAAATTCAGAAAGATTCTTTTCATTAAAATTACATTCCTAACCAGCTCTAATTAAGAACCACAGTCAAGGGAAATCTTAAATTTAACTGTGTGTTTATGTCAAGTGATTCCTAATATTTCAACTTATGAGAAAATTTTATCGTAAGAATCTTCGTGTATCTGGACCCTTAATACCAGAACTGGATATAATATGACCTTGATAAGATATACAATGTACTACTAGACGAACAAAGAAATTATTAATGAATAATTGCTGGCCTGGCGGAACTGAATACTTGAGTAATATGGCATTTTCCGGTGTGTGTGTGTGTGTGTGTGTAGTCTTAGCAATTTATATATATTTATCAATGTCAGTCTTCATTATTTAGCTCAGCAGGACAACAACCACGATCATTACTTCCTCTAACGTGTTTTTATTTCTCTTCTTTGCTTTTTCCAACTTTATTATATGTTCTCTCTCTCTCTCTCTCTCTCTCTCTCTCTCTCTCTCTCTCTCTGCCTAGCACCACCACGGAAATATACGCTATGACCTCTTGAATTTTGTGAGTACAAGATTTCAACAGCCAGGAAGTGAACTTAAAAGCCGCTCCCCTCCACCCCCATCCCCACCTGACACACACACACACACACACACACAAACACAAACACACACAAACACAAACACACACACACACACAAAGGTACTCTGACCTCACGCAAGTATATCATCGAGGAAAGAGTCCCAGCGGATATAAAACTCTTAAGAACCCTTTTCCCCGTCGCTGTTTCAACTAGACTTCCGACCTGACAGTACCGACAATGGTGCGTTCAGTTTGTTGTGTATAATTTAGTCTCAGAAATTTAGTTCAGGAATTTTACTATGTGGTGATAATATCAGAATTTGTGTGTATAATAATGTGTGGATATCTTGCTCCTCAGAATTTGTGGCTGATCCGTGTTCTTTTGGGGATCTGTCTGGCCAAAGGCGGTAACTCCAAGAACCACACACCAGGAGCCATTGGTAGTGGCTCTTTTGGATTACGTGGAAGATTCGTTGGTGGATCTTTTGGAGGATCTGCACTACTCCCAAGTTCCTCTGTGAAAGGACATGGAGGAATCATTAGTGGATCTGCTGAATTACCCGAGAGATTTGCAACAAGACAAAATGTCATTGTAACTGATTTTGTTGGACGACCCGGAAGCTTACCTAGTAGGGGGCATGGTGGTTACAATGGTTCTCTCAGTACTGGTGTGTCTGTGATCCCTGCAGTGGGCGGTTTCGTTGGCTCATATACGAGTAGGTTTTTGGGTCTTGGATCTTTCAGAAGTCAAAGTGGCATTGATGGTAGTGACATTAGTAGAAATGTTGGTTCTTACGGGGGAAGTCTAGGCTCTTTTGGTGTTATTGGTTTTGGTGCTACTGGTGGCTCCGTCGGGTCTAGGGGCATCGCTGGAAACATAGATTCATTGGGTAGCTCTGGCTTTGGCGGTAGTAGAGTTTCTGTTGAGAATATTGGCAGCAACATCGGTAGTAGTAGTGGATTTAGTAGTAATGATGGCTCCTTCGGGAACAGTGGCAACTCTTTGGGTGGTTTTAGTGACTTCGGGAATAATATTGTCTCCTTCGGTAGTGGTGGTGCATCTCCTGATAGAAGTGTTCCTCCCTCGGTAGAAGTGGTAATTGCTTCGTTAGTAATGGTGGTTCTCTTGTAGGTAATGATTTGGCTGATTGTGTTGGTTCTTTCGGGGGTGGAAGCCTTGGTGGTGGTGTTGGCTCCTTCAGGGGTAGTGGATTAGGTGGTAGTAGTAGTGTTGGCATCTTTGGTGGGTGGTGGCTGAGGATCCACCTGTGGGCCCTTCAATAGCTCTGAAAGTGGCAACTGTCTCCCCTCAGGCATTAGTAGTAGTAGTAGTAGTAGTAGTATTAGTAGTAGTAGTAGTAGTGGTGGTGGTGTCTTCCCGAGGGCCAGAGGATCTCACAGTACAAGTGGTGGCATCATAGTCAAAACTCAAGGTGATAAAAATATTGTGACACTTCAATAATTAACTCATAAGATATTAACAGTGATCTTAAATGATCAACACTGAAGATGAATAGTTACAATATAAATGGTTGAAAAGTTAAAATTTTAGGTGATAAAAGTTGGTCAAAATGAAGCAGTTACGACGATAATAGTGTTACTCGATGGTTGACACTTAAGATGGTAATAATGGCTCGGTAGTCAACACTTTGGTTTCATAAGAGGCTCAATAGATACCTTGTCACTTAAGGTGTTAAAAGTGACTGTTGCAAGTGGCTCTCTGGGTTTATCAGTGGCCATCGTGACTCATGAAAGGATTTAGGTGAATGCTGTCCCAAGAACGAAAAGACAGATAGAATTGAAAACCGACTTGTACAGTCATTCAAATTTTGTTCTATAAAAAACTGTGCTGAGAAAATATGACACAACGGAAGAAGAATTCTGACAACCTTACCGAGACAACAAGAGTAGCAGTGTTCATTCTGAAACTCATCGATCACCCCAAGTACAGATAGTTTTTAAGTGACTGGACAGTATATAAATATTCCAACATTTAAATGAATATATAGATGTATCTAGATATATTAAAATGAACAAATACAGAAAATAAATAGGAAACAAAGGTGAAAAAGGTAAATGGTTTTTTATATAGAATAGAAAGTAATGATAAAGAAAATGGAATCCTAAGATCAAACAATACAAGTTCTCAAAAAGTGAACCTGTTCACTAAAGTCATTGTGTGATAGGAATAAGATAAGAGATTAAATGCAAAAAAAAAAATCATACACGAAGAGTCATAACCACTCAAAAATCTTCTTATTTACAACTTACTTACGACCCATCAATCATTTTACATATAACTGTTCCCCAATTGTTGTGTGATATAACTTTTTGCAAAAACATTTAAGATTTTGATATATTTACAAAGGTCAACAAGTGTTTTCTTATCCTCTCAGTGACATAACAGAGCACAATTATAGCCAACATTCCAGTTATATTTTTAACATTGTCCAGCATCACTTCTCACTAGTTTTTTTTATTATTGTTAACGATATCGCAAAGTAGAGGCTGCTAAATAGGAAAACAAAGAGAAAGGTGAGAGAGAGAGAGAGAGTGAGAGGTGAGAGATAATTAAGAGACATATAATTGGGAGGGGCGGTGGGGGAAGGTTGGGGCTACAATGAGAATAAACTTTCATAATCATTGTTTACATTTATAGATACACAGTACAGATACACCTTAACATACAACTACGGGTATGAATATAATAATACAAGACGAGGAGAAATATACAACACACACACACACATATACAGTTACTGCACCACGTGAACACTACACCACCCGGTGTTTCCATGACCACGTGAGGTCCTTCATGTGGCCATGTCAACATCTAAGGACGAGTTACTGCACTACGTGGCCTACGTGACCTCACACAGTATGGCAAGAGACCAGCCCGGGCCATCCTCTGCAAAATATAATAATTCGTTTGTTCATTTCATGTTCCTTCTTATTTTAGTAATGAAAGGTTTTGTTAACCGACCCACCCACCCCATGTCTTTGTATGTAATAAGTCATTATTGTCTAATGTACATTTCCAGCCTTCGGACTGCAGAACTTTTTCAACAAACCGTTAATTATTATTATTATTATTATTATCATTATTATTATTACACACACACATTTACACAATACTAAGAGGATACTAATTATACTATTGTCGGTGTGAATTATTATACACAAATAAATATAAAACAAAGTGATTTACCAAACCAATCTATAAGAAATATGTTATACGCACCAGTATCTGTAATTATCACTGTCTGGTTATAAAATGATCATGCTATTAAAGAGTCTTCAACTACTGCCGTGAGAAGGATATGGTAACACTGTGACTCCGAGTGAAAGAATTCCATTTTAAAGAGGATAATAAATTCTGGAAGTCAAAACTTTTCATAACTGTAGACCTGGATCAGGTTATTAGGGCCTGACCTGAACACACCTCACCTGATATCGGTACTGTTTGAGTGTTTGAGGCTTTATAAACTCATTACGACTCTTCAAGAAGAGTGAGTTGGTATCTAGGTTTGGGAACACCTGGGTTGGCTGGCGAGTTTTTAGATAAAGCCGTTATCACTGTACATGTTGCTTTCTACTCTTCTCTAGATCTGCCAGTGTGTGTGTGTGTGTGTGTGTGTGTGTGTGTGTGTGTGTGTGTGTGTGTGTGTGTGTGTGTGTGTGAAAAACAAAACACCTTAGATGTTTGTGGATCATGCCTCGTACTTACCAACAGTGCGTAACAGAGACGTGACCGTTCGCCCAAGCGGCTAACGAGCCGATCAGTGGCGAAGAGGATAAAAGTAAAAGTAAAAAAAATAAATAAATTCAGGCATGTGTATGTACGTTAATTATGAACACCATACACAAATATATAAGCAAACAACGCCTCAGAAAACTTTAGAAACGAAAATTCACTTGTCCGTTCATTATAGTTCCCCACAGTCTATTCCTCTGGGATCAACGTTTTCTCTATAGCATTTCAGATCAAACTGTGAATCAGAAACTCAAATATATTTAGGTTGTAAGACGTTGAAGGGCAGATTTATATATTAAGAACGAGTACAGTAACTACTATCTGGTGACATTAACATAAAAATGGTATATTAACTTCAATATGAATAGATATACAGTATATTGAGAAACTGTTATGCTTTGTCATATGATTATATTAACGAAATGTTCATGTCTCATAGTCATCTCGAAGACAGAGAACATACAAAGTTACATTAGTATTTGTGAAATCTACAGACTGGTGGTTGTACACTATCTCTTTAAAACTAAAATACGTATAAGTTGTCCTCACCAAAATATATATCATCTCTTCTGAGTAAAACAAATCGACAGTTACATACAGTACCATTATTGAGATATACAGTAAATAGCATATGTTCAATAAGATCTGTGTACGAAACTGGAATAAATGTAGTAAGTGCTGTGTGCTATAGTTAGGAACTTTAGGATTGGTAATAATATAAGTTGCAACTACCACTAGTAGTAGTGAAGTTAAGAGGAAGGCATCAGGTTCCAGGGTGCTTATATCCCGCCAAATGCTGTCATGTTCGAGAAAATAACAGGAGGGATGGTGTGGGAAAAAGCACTGAAGACTCAGGGAGGGGCTGGCCCTTCAGGCCTGGATGTAGACGGTTGGAGAGTCATCCTCAACACTAACAAGTTTAGTGCCGCAGCAAGTGATCTCTGCAGAGCCATCATCTTCATGCTCTGACGGCCTGCCGCCTCATTACCCTGGATAAAAATCCAGGATGTAGGCCTATATGGGTGGGGGAAGTGCTGAGACGGATCATTGGAAAATGCATAATGGAGGTGGTAAATGATGATGTCAGGGCAGCTGCAAGGAACTTGCAATTATGTGCTGGCCACCAGGCTGGAGGGGAAGCTGCCACTCACGCCATGAGAAAGATATTTGAGCAGTGTAATTGTGAGGCGGTACTCCTGTTTGACGCTTCCAAAGCTACACTGCACAAAATCAAGTTCAAGTGTCCAAGTTTAACAAATGTATTTTGAAAACATCTACAGGAACCCATCAAACCTCTACTGTATATAAGATGCTTCAAGGCCCTACGAGGAGATACCACCCAACAACAGAGGGAACAACTCCGGGGGACCTTATCGCCATGGCAATGTACACACTAGGCCTATCCGTGCTCCAACACACAATGAAATTTGAAACAACCGCGGTCAAGCAAGTGGCTTATGCTGACGACCTTACAGGAGCAGGAAAAGTGGAGGACATCAAAAAGTGGTGGGACATGATAACATCACGAGGTCCACAAATAGGGTACCACCCAAATGCCAGCAAGTCCTTCCTCATTGTGAAGCCCGAACACTATGGACGGGCAATGGAGGTGTTCGGTGGAAGTGAGGTCAAAATAACAAAGGACGACCAAAGACACCCATGTGCGGTAACCGGCACGAAGGACTTCAAGACCGAGAACGTAACGAGAAAGGTATATGATTGGGTGAAGGAAATCCAAGCTCTGTCTGATACAGGGGGAGCATTGCTAAAACAGAGCCACATGCAGCTATTGCGGTATTCACCCATGGAGTCAGGCATCGCTGGAATTACCTGATGTGCACTATCCTTGATATCGGACCCCCTCTACCCTCTGGAAGAAACCATCAGCGTCAATTTTATTCCAAAATTAGTGAAACACTTTCACTTAACCCCAGCAGAAAGGTCAATCCCAGCACTTCCACCGAGACTGGGAGGAATGGGATTGACCAATCCAGTCAAGCTCACGGCAGCCCTCACTGAGCATTTTTTTTTTTTACGGGAATTAGCTCACCCGGGCACAAGTCGAACGACCCACAACGGGGCCTGGAGGGCGAAAAAATAACAGAAAGAAATTAAAAATAGAGAAGTAAAAGCTTATACTGTGTTAATCTTCACCACGAAGATCCAAGAAAACCAGCTTTTTAAAGTGAGACAGATTGTATAAGTATAGAAACACAGAAGGCAGAGCATTCCACAGTTTGGCTGTGTGAGGAAAGAAGGATGTACTATAACGGGTTATTATAGTGTGACCGATATCCACAGAGAAACGGTGGGTACAGCGGGCAAGACGAGTGTTACGAGCCCACGGCCTTGCCGGCGGTACACAGGATGCCAAATCCACCGAACATTGCCCGTTAAAGTACCTGTAAAAGAGAGAGTGAAGCAACATTGCGGCGAAGAGAAAGGGAAGAAAGATTGTCGACTAAATGAGGAGAGTTAATAAGACGAAATGCCTTTGATTCCACCCAATCTAACAGTTGGACAGAAGAAGAGCCACCCCAGATATGAGAGCAGTACTCCAAGTTAGGACGAATGAATCCCTTATATACTTGAAGAACTGCTCAGGAGTGAAGTAGCTACGGCATCTGTACAGCATTCCTAGCTTTCGGGAGGGAGCTTTAGCTATGTTAAGGATATGTGATTTCTAGGACATATACTGTAATAGCTCAGAATGCAATAAGTGAGGTGGATACTAAGGAATTAAACAAGATTCGACGGTCCATTTCGACAGATTGAAGCACATCCAAAGTGATAAACTGCTGCAACTGATGCTGCAAGTGCCAGAGATCTTGAAAAAAAAAGTAGCTATAGAGCATGTTAAACCGGAACAAGAACATGAGCGGCCAACTCTCAGTTTCACATTAAGAAAACTGTTGTGTAAAGAGTCACTTAGAATGACCTACTAATATTGTTTGCTCACATCCGGCCATATATTACTGTAGGTCGCTGGATCTGTCTCGGGTGACTGTCGTAAGGCGCCTCTGTGCGACAACTCGTCTAGGTTAGTAAAAGTTCACAGAAATTATTGACCTAAATTCTCAGTTTTGTCAATTAATCTGAGAATTTATGATATTTTGAAAGGCATCTTCCCCATATTTGCTGTTAGTTGTTTGCCCTAGTTATTTCAATGTATCAGATATGTAAAAACTGACTGAAAAGAACAGGTACTGACACATCAAACTCGTCTCGTGTTTTACTATCTTATCTTTTATAAATTTCCAATTCCGTTAAATCTCTAAAAGGCTCTTACATGGTCTTGCTCACCCATATAATTATCTTGTGTACAATTTAGAATTTACGATCTAAAATATATATAGACCAAATTGTGAGGTATTAAGATATTGCAATGTTTGCCCTCTTTAGATGTAGGTTTGGTAATAAGAAAAGAAAATGCATCTACCTTCGGGTTTTTTTAATAACAGAACACATATTTAACTTATTCTTGATTTACATACACGCTTAATCAACCCATTTCTAAGACTCCCTTAATGCTCTGACGTCTGCGGTGGTTTCAGCAAGCCTGGAACCCAGGTCATTCAAGAACTTTAGGGCCTCAGTGCCCCAGCCTCCCAGATATTTTTATCCTATTGGGAAAAAACAATCTTGGAGGCTCACCACTCATGTTGTAATGCGATGAAGGAAGTGGGTGCCAAGGCAGGAGTACACGTGCAGTCCTACATTAGCTTTTTACAGGTCCTTCCAGGAGGTCATTGTGATTCTTTGTGGACGCTCGTTATCACAACTATAGACCTGTTGTTCCCTGTGTGTTAGGCACCCCACAGCTGTCAGACGCCACCGGATGACGTCATTTACTTTGTTGTACCCATTCGTTTCCTCAGGTACACTGATAAACTGTATGGATAGGGGCAGCAAGGCGAAGGGCCATTCCATCACGGAGGGACTGGGAATCGAGGCGGGTCTCCTGCATCAGCAGTGTTGACTGCCTGCAGACGTGGTCTCGCTCGGTCATTCGGTGCTTTCTCAAGAATGTCCAGGCACTCTTCTCCACGTTGGATTTATCCCAGTGGGTTTTATTTTCTGGCTGGCTGGCTGGTTGCTGGCTGGCTGGCTGGCTGGCTGGCTGGCTGGTTGGCTGGCTGGCTGGCTGGCTGGCTGGCTGGCTGGCTGGCTGGCTGGCTGGCAGGCTGGCAGGCTGGCTGGCAGGCTGGTTGGATGGCTGGCTGGCTGGCTGGCTGGCTGGCTGGCAGGCTGGCAGGCTGGCTGGCAGGCTGGTTGGATGGCTGGCTGGCTGGCTGGCAGGCTGGCAGGCTGGCTGGCAGGCTGGTTGGATGGCTGGCTGGCTGGCTGGCTGGCTGGCAGGCTGGTTGGATGGCTGGCTGGCTGGCTGGCTGGCTGGCAGGCTGGTTGGATGGCTGGCTGGCTGGCTGGCTGGCTGGCAGGCTGGTTGGATGGCACACCTCAGCATTCCTTTCTTCCTTCCCTCACCCTTCCCCTCTTGTCACCTTAAATATAGGTATGTTTTTTCCTTTCAAAAAAAATCTAATTACTTTGTATTTAGGAACTATTATGTAGATATGCTTGATGGAAACAGTAAATTAATATCAATATAGCTAAGGTAATTGAATCTAACCGTATCTAGTGTAACTCAGATATGCTGAAGTTTGAACTTTTATAAGAGTAATCGAAGTGAAACACAGCAAACTCTTCCAAATGTAATTATTTCTATTAAGATATGAAACTGAAAACTAAAAGTGTATCCGGGTCATTTGTGAGGAAGAAAGATTATGAGACGTAGCATTACGTCTTTCTAGGTCGGGGATATACTATACATATTTTCAGAGCTGTCATTTTGTTTATTATTTTGTCACCTCGAACTATACAAGATTCTCAAAAGATCTTACACTGTTTCTTTCTCTAACTGAACACGTAAAAATTATTAACCAGATAACACTGAGACTTCCATTACTTAATGTGTTATCCTGTCTCTAGTCTGAGTAAAAATAACTTACAGATCTTGGCGTCTGTGGGCTCAAGGCTCTTGTTCACAATAAAAAGAGTCAGTAAGTTCGATTCATTTTAAACATAACTTTGTCATTTAAATAGTCAATGAAAGATACAGTTTTCGTGAATATTTTGATATGGAAACAAGCGGCACTGCATCAGATATATATTTCAGGTTAAATAAGTCGTATTGGTCACTCATGTTTCTTATTAGTCTTTAATCATTCAACAGGTCATAATCTTGGGCTATTATACACCTTATATATGTAGTCGATATAGAGTTTTTTTTTTATATTATTAGTGATTTCTATATGATGTGATTTTGTTAATGTTTTGCTCAGATTTTATAGGATATAGTTAACAAGACCGACCGTATAACTAACAACCCTTGAGTCAATGGTGTGGAAGTTAGGATTATAATAAAAATATCAGAACAACATATTTATTTGTTGAATAAATTATACACAAAAATATAGCATATGCTTGTAGCTTCACTTGAAAATATATTTACTCGTTATACTCGTAGAACTTTCTCTTGTACCTGTGTGTGTCAACTTGGTCGGTGTATTACTTGTGATATCTTGGCACGGTGTAGCTGTTGTGTGACACTCCATATCGGCCCCCAATGCCTCCTCCACCTCCTTGTCCACCGCCTAAAACTACGCCACCTCTACCTCTACCTCCAGCGATGCCAAATCCTCCTTCAAAGGAATTATCAAAACCGCCACTTCCATGGTGTCCACCGTGGCCACCGTGATAACCACCATGATGGCCACCGTGATGGCCACCATGATTGCCACCGTAAGAAGGAATAGCAAAGCCACCTCCGAGAGCATTCAGAGGGAAGCCATTACCGGCACCGGGGCCGCCGTCCTGCCTGTGGTAATGGTCGACCAAGTAGGCGGAGGAGATGCTCTTGACGTACTCGTTGGGGAAGAGGCCGTGGTTAAGCTTCCCTGTGCTGTAGGTAACGGTATTTCCGCCGGAAGAGCCATAGCCACCTCCGTGTCCACCACCGTGTCCACCACCGTGTCCACCTCCGTGTCCACCACCGTGTCCACCTCCGTGTCCACCTCCGTGTCCACCACCGTGTCCACCTCCGTGTCCACCTCCGTGTCCACCACCGTGTCCACCTCCGTGTCCACCACCAACGATGATGCCGCCGCCGCCGCTGCCGATGAATCCGCCGCCGCCGCCGCCGCCGATGAATCCGCCGCCGCCGCCGCCGCCGCCGCCGATAAATCCGCCGCCGCTGCGTGCTCCACGGAAGATAAATCCTTCATCAGAGTGGCCGAACCCGTGACTTTCAAAGGAGTCGTCAAAGCTGTGATCTTCAAAGGAGTTATCAGCAGTGGTGAGGACGAGGAGGAGAGCGGTGAACACCGCTTGCAAGAGTGACCACTGTGGAGGGGAGAGAGATACCAATAGTAGTAGTGATGATGATACTAAAGGTGATGATGATGATGATGAGGATGTCTTTAATAAGGGTGATGATGAGGATGATGATGAGGATGTCTTTAATAAGGGTGATGATGAGGATGATGATGAGGATGTCTTTAATAAGGGTGATGATGAGGATGATGATGAGGATGTCTTTAATAAGGGTGATGATGAGGAGGATGATGAGGATGATGATGATGATGATGATGATGATGAGGATGATGATGATGATGATGATGATGATGATGAGGATGATGATGATGATGATGATGAGGATGATGATGAGGATGTCTTTAATAAGGGTGATGATGAGGAGGATGATGGGGATGATGATGATGATGATGATGATGAAGATGAGGATGATGATGATGATGATGATGATGATGTCTTTAATAAGGGTGATGATGAGGAGGATGAGGATGATGATGATGATGATGATGATGATGATGATGATGATGATGATGATGATGATGATGATGATGATGATGATGATGATGAGGATGATGATGATGATGATGAGGATGATGATGATGATGATGATGATGATGATGAAGATGAGGATGATGATGATGATGATGATGATGATCTTTAATAAGGTGATGATGAGGAGGATGAGGATGATGAGGATGATGATGATGATGATGATGATGATGATGAGGATGAGGATGATGATGATGAGGATGATGATGATGATGATGATGATGAGGATGATGATGATGAGGAGGATGATGAGGATGATGATGAGGATGATGATGATGAGGAGGATGATGATGATGATGATGATGATGAGGATGATGATGATGATGCTTCTTAACGCAGTATTTTGATATCCATTTACCTTATCATTAACTTGTGTATGTACAGCGGCAAAAGTTGTCAGAGGCGTAAAATTTGGGGTGTGAGAACCGGTCGAGAGAGAGAATGTGTGTGTGTGTGTGTGTGTGTGTGTGTGTGTGTGTGTGTGTGTGTGGGTGTGTGTGTGTGTGTGGGTGTGTGAAGGATATCATTCACTTTTTCTACTGAGATTCGAGCGAGTGGGTGGAGGCTTCTGGCATAGGAAAGAAAGAGAGAGAGTAGGAATCTCTCTCTCTCTCTCTCTCTCTCTCTCTCTCTCTCTCTCTCTCTCTCTCTCTTTTCTCTCTCTCTCTCTGCTAAACAGCCTCAACACACAACTGAATTCTCCTTTATCAGGTTTCTTCAGAGCTACTATAGCATTCGGTCTACAAAGATATCTTTAGTCTAACCTAACCTAACTTGACCTTACCTAACCTAACCTAACCTAACCTGACTGTTTCTTCACCTAACAACAACAGGCGACCTTTGAGACTGGTTGCAGGTGATTGTTGCTCTCAGTCCTATTCTTATGGGAGACTCAAACACACAGCGGAAGGTCAACAACATGAATTAATGGAAGGCTGAGGTGCTTGGTCACGGCATTTGGTGACTTAACACTAATGGACTCCCTTCCCCGTGTATCACCAATTGAACGAGGCAGCACATGAGAGGTGAAAGTTATATGGATATTCTCCTTTGATTAATATTGTGGTACTATGAACATACATACATACATACATACATACATACATACATACATACATACATACAAGAAACACCAAAGAACAAAACCAATTAGCAGTAACTACGATTGAAAGCATTTAACATTTTTCAAAACAAATAGAATTTATACTTGTTTGAAAAATTAAATAGACTATAATTCTATATCAATTACCTAAGGTGTGAAAAGTGTGGATGTTATAAGTTAACATTACGGAGAGTTGCTTATTTTAGTGTTTATATTATTTGATACAGTGAAGTTCTATTGATGTGATTGCGAGTGACTCATTATACTGGTCCGCTGAGTTCATTATAGAAAGCCATAGGTGAATACAAAAACTGGGATACTTTCGCTTGCTCGTGACCTCATAACGAGAATATGACGAGATATTTATATCAGGGCAAAGGTCAACGGTGTATATTATGAAATGATGTAGGCTGGGTCAAGAACCTCACAAGCAAAGTTAACGGGGGACAAACAATACGTGATATAACATAGGGATGAAAATACCATATATTGAGCTGTATTAGTCAGCCTTAACTCTTGATCCTTGAGTTATATGATTTAACCCCTTCAGTAAAATAATTTAACCCCTCGAGTAAGATGATTTAACCCCTTGAGTAAGATGATTTAACCCCTTGAGTAAGATGATTTAACCCCTTGAGTAAGATGATTTAACCCCTTGAGTAAGATGATTTAACCCCTTGAGTAAGATGATTTAACCCCTTGAGTAAGATGATTTAACCCCTTGAGTAAGATGATTTAACCCCTTGAGTAAGATGATTTAACCCCTTGAGTAAGATGATTTAACCCCTTGAGTAAGATGATTTAAACCCCCTGTTTCGGTGTTTTAATGCTTGTTTTTACTGACCCGGATATGAGGTAAGTTTTTATTCAAGTGTAGTTTAATGTAACCAATGACCATTTCTTTGCCAGTCTTTGTGTTTTTACTGTGTGGTCTAGTGAGGCAAGTACTGAAGGCTAAACACAACTGACAAATGACCTGTAGTCAAGCTAGAATTTTAAATACTGTTGAAAAGAAAGATGAAGGTATTTGGTTTAGTTTTGTGGTAGAAGACGAATGTTTGCGTCTCTTTATGGGATTTAAGAAATGCATTGATATGGGAAATATTAAAATAATTTATTTTTAGTATTTCTATATGGTTACCCGTGAAAACGTTAGAAGGTTCTATATATAAGTCAAAAAGTTAGTTGTGGGAGAGACAAGAGACACGTCCCCCCTCTCCCTAGATGGCGCCTCTACTGCCTGAAATCCACTGCTAATCGCAATTCCGATTATGTCACCTAAAGATGTAAATTTCAGCGCAAACAAATGACCCGTTTCTTCTACTAGTAAAACATAAAATTTAGACCACTAATTAAATAACCAGACGACTGTAGTTCTAAAGTTTATAAATATTTTGTGCTCAGTTAAAAGGCGGCCATAAGGAAAGACAAAATATTAGTTAACTTTTAGCAAAATTGACGATCTCCTTATAATAGTATTTTGACGTAACTATTTAAAGACATAAAACAAATATAGATAAATGTTCGTTTAAAAGATATATATTGTAAAATGAACGAAATAAAAACATCAAATAATTATTTAAATATTACAAATATATCAAAATTCTCCGAGGCTGACACCACGTTAAATAGATAAGTAGATATTCACCACACTTTCACCACACCTTAGTTTTATTACAAACGATAAATAGACACAATCCTATTATCTAAAGACTCATTAAACCTGATATAGACCTAAAGAAAAGTGAAGGTTTCCAATTTTCTTTTATTTTTTCCGCTTTTTTCTCCATTGTTACCAGTGTCCACCGTCTTCTATTCGCCAGGAGGGTCAGGTAGTACAGTGACCAGGTGAGTACAGTGACTAGGTGAGTACAGTGACCAGGTGAGTACAGTGACCAGGTGAGTACAGTGACTAGGTGAGTACAGTGACTAGGTGAGTACAGTGACCAGGTGAGTACAGTGACCAGGTGAGTACAGTGACCAGGTGAGTACAGTGACCAGGTGAGTACAGTGACTAGGTGAGTACAGTGACCAGGTGAGTACAGTGACCAGGTGAGTATACAGTGACAGGTGAGTACAGTGACTAGGTGAGTACAGTGACCAGATGAGTGCAGTGACCAGGTGAGTGCAGTGACCAGGTGAGTACCACTAGGTGGTACAGTGACTAGGTGAGTACAGTGACAGGTGAGTACAGTGACCAGGTGAGTACTGAGTGACTGGGTGAGTGCAGTGACCAGGTGAGCAGTGACCAGATGCAGTGACCAGGTGAGTACAGTGACCAGGTGAGTACAGTTACCAGGTGAGTGAAGTGACCAGGTGAGTACAGTGACTAGGTGGTACAGTGACAAGGTGAGTACAGTGACCAGGTGAGTACAGTGACCAGGTGGGTGCAGACCGGGTGAGCACAGTGACCAGGTGAGTACAGTGACTAGTGCAGTGACTGAGTAGTGACCAGGTGAGTACAGTGACCAGGTGAGGCAGTGACCAGGTGAGCAGTGACAGTGACCAGGTGAGTACAGTGACTAGGTGAGTACAGTGACCAGGTGAGTACAGTGACCAGGTGAGTACAGTGACCAGGTGAGTACAGTGACCAGGTGAGTACAGTGACCAGATGAGTACAGTGACTAGGTGAGTACAGTGACCAGATGAGTACAGTGACTAGGTGAGTACAGTGACCAGGTGAGTACAGAGGACATAAATGAGTGAAATATTCGAGCAAGACGACTAGATACGACCTGTGATAACGACCCAATAAGACACTGGCTGTACCTGTACCTATACCTTTGTACCTGTATCGCTACCTGTACCTGTATCTCTACCTGTACCTGTATCTCTACCTCTACCTGTACCTATACTTCTGTTTGTGTCTTTACGTGGTTTTTGAATCGTTAAAGTTCATAAAGCACACACACACACACACACACACACACACACACACACACACACACACACACACACACACACACACACACACACACACTCTAATTCACTCGAAGACAATAGTTAATCTTCTTCCTTTTACTAATCTCTTGAATATTTCTTAAAAACTCAATAAAAATTAGAATTTATTCCACTATGAAATATAATTATCAAAAAGATTTCTAGAAGGGTTTAGTTCCGATCACAGTTTGAGATTAATAATTATTGTTAGGAACAGGAGAGAAGACGAGAAGCCTTACCATCGTAGAATCGAGAGCACAACTCACTGTGCCAGTCTCTGATCAACCTCTCGTTTATATATCAGCGGCCCAGGAACTAGTTCTTATTGGATGTCGACTGTGGAACGTATCGCGATAGCAAATAAATTTTCTACCATCTAAAGGTTTAATGGCCTTAACACTAGGAAGATATGGGTCTATGGGTCTCTCTTACGATGTGTTTTAATGACTTATGGAATATAAAGATAATTCCCTGCAACGATACCCTGAGACTTAGTGGTTTTCTTCTCAAAACTATCGAGAATGATGAGTTTTTTTTGTGATGAATTTTTGATGAGTTTATTTTCTCCCCTTGACACTCGACAAGAATGACTAAACAGTTTTATTTTTACTTTCGCTTCCCTCTTTTTTTCTCTCTCTTCTACTGACTGTAGTTATACCATCGGTGACCTGAGGAAATTGTACACGATTTGTAGAAAAAAGGAATTAGTTAAACATTGGACGGAAACCAGAACGTGATAACATTCTATCGATAGCTCCCAGAAAACCTGTTCATCAGTTACACTACTAAACGATCAGAGAATCTTACCCGACTTTTCTTAATGAGGAAATGATATCGTTTAGCATTTTTGTTCTGTATCGAAAATTTGATAACATAACATAACATAACCTAACCTAACATAACATAACATAACATAACCTAACATAACATAACATAACATAACATAACATAACATAACATAACATAACATAACATAACATAACATAACATAACAACATAACATAACATAACATAACATAACATAACATAACATAACTTAACATAACATAACATAACATAACATAACATAACCTAACCTAACCTAACCTAACCTAACATAACACAACACAACACAACACAACACAACACAACACAACACAACACAACACAACACAACATAACATAACATAACACAGCACAACACAACACAACACAGCAGCACAACACAACATAACATAACATCAACATAACCTTAACATAACATAACACAACACAACACAACACTTAACATAACACAACATAACATAACATAACATAACATAACATAACACAACACAACACAACACAACACAACATAACATAACATAACATAACATAACATAACATAACACAACATAACACAACATAACATAACATAACATAACATAACATAACATAACATAACACAACACAACACAGCACAACACAACATAACATAACATAACATAACATAACATAACACAACATAACACAACATAACATAACATAACATAACATAACATAACATAACATAACACAACACAACACAACACAACACAACACAACACAACATAACATAACATAACATAACATAACATAACATAACATAACATAACCAATATAATATAATATAATATAATATAACACAACATAACAAAATATAATATAATATAATATAATATAATATAACATAACACAACACAACATAAATACAACACAATATAATATAACATAATATAACACAATATAAACACATAAATATAAAATATAATAAATAAATATAAAAATAATATAACATAAATATAATATAACACAAATATAATATAATATAAATATAACACAAAACACAATACAACATAACAAAAAAATACAACATAAAATAATATAATATAACATAACATAAATATAATATAACATAATATAATATAACATAACATAACATAACATAACATAACACAACACAACATAACATAACATAACATAACATAACATAACACAACACAACACAACACAACACAACATAACATAACATAACATAACATAACATAACATAACACAACATAACACAACATAACATAACATAACATAACATAACATAACATAACATAACACAACACAACACAGCACAACACAACATAACATAACATAACATAACATAACATAACACAACATAACACAACATAACATAACATAACATAACATAACATAACATAACATAACACAACACAACACAACACAACACAACACAACACAACATAACATAACATAACATAACATAACATAACATAACATAACATAACATAACCTAACCTATGATGATTGAAGCCCAATGCAATACTATATACAGTTACGGCAACACCTTTTATCTAACCCATGAGTACAATATCATAACCCCAAGAGTACAATATCCTAACCCCAAGAGTACAATATCATCACCCCAAGAGTACAATATCATCACCCCAAGAGTACAATATCCTAACCTATGAGTACAATATCATAACCCCATGAGTACAATATCATAACCCCATGAGTACAATATCCTAACCTATGAGTACAATATCTTAACCTATGAGTACAATATCCTAACCTATGAGTACAATATCCTAACCCCATGAGTACAATATCATAACCCCATGAGTACAATTTCCTAACCCATTAGTACATTATTTTAACCTCCTGAGTACAATATGTTAACCCCTTGAATACTATATCATCATAATTAAAGTGGTCAAGTCATCATAAACAAAGTGTCCAGACTGTACTAACATGATTTCAATGTACTCAAGAAGTTTCATTCTCACAATTAGATAGTTTACTCACCGGGGTAATTCATTGTACTCATGAGTTGATATCGTACTTAAGCGGTTAGAATATCTGTCTCGTAATAAGATATCGTGTCTTGTAATAAAGAAGTTAAGATATGTTACTTAGAGTACTGAATCATTATACCCAGAGACGTGTTATCGTACTCAAGGGATAAAATCTCTTACTCAGAGTACTGAATCATTATACCCAGAGACGTGTTATCGTACTCAAGGGATAAAATCTCTTACTCAGAGTAGTGAATCATTATACCCAGAGACGTGTTATCGTACTCAAGGGATAAAATCTCTTACTCAGAGTACTGAATCATTTTACCCAGCGACTTGTTATCTTACTCAAGGATTAAAATATCTTACCCAACAGCATACCCAATAGGTTGAAATATCTGAATAAATTTACTAACTCATTATACCCAGGAATTATTATCATACTTAAGAGTTAATAGACACATCATCCATTAAGTATTATATAATCAGCAGGTTTAACACCATACTCGAGAAACTAATATAACATAATTCATACCTTCTACAAAATATTAAATACATCTATGGAGTATCAAATATTTTCAGAGTCGATCACACAGACCAAATAACCTATCTCCTGTGAGGTGAATATTAGGTGGCTCTTCAGTCACCTACACTAACACCCCTTCCTCCTCAATGAACCTTGGCCACCCATCACTTCACCTAGGTCACTTGCTCTTCGTTAACGATACCTACGTGATGCAAATACCAGTTGTAAAGTGTGTCACCTCGTCTGGGTAAAGGAGGTGACCCTTAATCTCACCTAGCATTAAGTTCACCTTTCTATCTCACCTAGCATTAAGTTCACCTTTCTATCTCACCTAACACTTACTTCACCTTCTTTACTAACCTAGCTCACCTTGATTAGCTTCACTCACCTACATTACTTAGTTAAACTTACTTAATTTCCTTCTTTTGCCTGTACCTCATCTTAATTCATCTGATTAATTTCACTCATTTTAGCTTATCTAAACTCACCTAATTCACTTCACTCACCTAACTTCCTTAAACTCACCTGATTTGCTTCATCCACCTAACTTACCTGATTTGCTTCACCCACATAACTCACCTGATTTGCTTCACCCACCTAACTCACCTGATTTGCTTCACTCACCTAAACTCACATGATTTGCTTCATTTACCTAAACTGAACTAGCAGGTAAGCAACCAGGTCGTACTGAACAAGGTGACTACACTCACCTACCTATTCTGACCCTTACTGAAGTCGGTCAACACCTCACCTTCCACACATGGTTCACCTACACTCACATGACCTCACTCAAACAAGTGTAAGAAAGCAATCCAGCAAGTTGTTTTTGTTATAGCCCATTTTTTTTTCTCATGGGATGAACATCAACTCGCTATACAGGATTTTAAGGATGGAGGAGCAAATGTTGCCTTATGGCCAAAGTCGTCGCGTTTACTAGAAAAAGAAAAACGAAAAGTTGACTTAAGAACATAAGAATGGGTGAAACTGCAGCGGGCCTATTGGCCCATACTGGGCAGTCTCATTTACATCCAACCCCTGTAGCTCATACTGTATATCCAGTCAACCTATGTTTGAAGCTATTCAGCGTATTCGAGTTAATGATGATGTTCGGTAACTTGTTCCACTCATCCACTACTCTATTTCCAAACCAGCGTTTACCTATTTCGCGCCTAAATCTAGATTTGTCTTATTTAAAACCATTGTTACGAGTCCGCTCCTGGTTGGATAGTTTGAATACCTTTGTAATGTCCCCTTTATTTAGCCCTGACTTCCATTTATACACCTCGATTATATCGCCCCTCACTCTACGTCTCTCGAAGGAGTGCAAATTAAGATGCTTTAACCGGTCTCTGTACTCAAGGTTCCTAATGCCCGGGATTAGTCTTGTCATTCTCCTCTGAATTCATTCTAGGGATTCTATATCCATTCTGTAGTACGGTGACCAGAGTTGAACTGCGTAATCCAAGTGAGGTCTCACAGGCGCAAGATATAGTTTTAGGATGACCTCGCTAGTCTTGTAACTAACACTCCTTTGTATGAACCCAAGTACTTTGTTAGTCTTGTTTCGAGCAAATGCACATTGTTTACTTGGTTTAAGATTCCCACTTATCATTACTCCTAAATCTTTCCCACAGTCGGATTTCTCTATAACATCGTTGTTCATCTGGTATTTGGTTTCGCTGTTTACATCTCCTAGACCAAGTACTTTACATTTGTCCACTCTGAATTTCATCTGGCATTTTCCGACCATTCGAAATTTTTTTTTAGGTCTTCCTGAAGTTTTACCGAGTCCTCGTCAGATACACGCCTTATTTTAGTGTCATCAGCAAATTTACCTATGTTGCTGTCTACGCCGATATAAATAAATATATATATATATATATATATATATATATATATATATATATATATATATATATATGATAAATAATAATGGTCCAAGTACTGAGCCTTGGGGTACTCCACTAGTGACGTTACTCCAATCGGATTTACTGCCGTTAATGCTCACTCG